AGCGAAGGAGATTTTTCACTGTAAGAACAAAAACTTCAAAATCCTACAAAATACTGATAAGTTTGATGACATTACAACATAAAATTATGTCAAAAATCTCTATAAAACAAAATTAAAAGAAAGTGCGAAAAATGTTAGCGACTGGTGTGATGAAAGGGCTCATGTTTATTATATACAAAGGGTTTTACAGATCAATAGGAAAAAGACCACCTGATAGAAAACCGGGCAGAGCTCACGAAGAGATACAAGAGGAGATGTAAATGATCAATAACATAAAAATATACTTCCTCTCATCATTAAACCCTTAGAAGGTAAGAAAATGCGAATGGATTAGGCAAAGATTCCTTTAAGAAGTGGTAATACCCAGCGCTGGCAGAGTGTGGAGGAACCGGCGGGCGCATGGTTGGTGGGGGGGGAATGGATAGACAGCTCACGATTGTGTGTCCGTGATCTTTGAATGTCTTATCACAAATGCATATGCTTAAAAGCAGCAATAAAAATAATGTTTCAGATTTGATTTTAAACACACTTGTGCACAGCACGTTCCAACAAATCAAACAACCCTGTTTAGACCTCACTTCTTGCGCTTACTGATTCTATCCTCAGGGGCAAACCAACTGACTTCTCAGCCTGTTGCCTCGGTTATAAACTCTGCGTAGCAATACCCCAGATAAGTTAGTGTGCAGGTAAATGAATAACATACGGAAATGAGCGGTCAGTGGTAAACACTCCATAAATAATAGCCACTCTTGTCATTGTCATCAAGGAATAAATGGTAATGTGTTATCACACTTGAAGCTGCCGTCAGTGAAGTGACACCTGGAGCTGCCTAAGCTCACATGGGGAACGTGCTCAGAGACAGAGCGCAGGAAAAAGCAGCTCATAGCAGTGTGCTCTCAGAGGATGTTACACTTTCCTGGAGAGAAAGGCAGGTTAGTAAGATGGAAAAGGAAGTATTCTGGCACTTTTCAGCCCACAGCCTTGAAGATAAGCTTCTAACGTTATATCCTGGTAGCGGTCAGGTTAGAGTGATGCTTCTGTGTAATCCCTGTTACCTGCAACCTGGCGCCGACTCGTGTTTTCATCATGAACCCCAGGCCTTGTTTCTGTCACCCCTTCATCATCTTAGTGCTTTCACTCCTCTGACCTGCATAGAAGATACTGGGAGAACTGAGGTTCTGATCCATTCCATGGATGTGGACGTGTAAATGAGCCTACGGTCCAGGTCTCTGAACCCAGATTGCTGCTAACTTAGGTGACCCTCCTCCCTTTCATACTTGGAGATAGCTCTTTTTTTTTTTTTTTAAAGATTGAATTTATTTATTTGACAGAGGGAGAGAAAGCACGAGCAGGGGGGAGCGGGAGAGGGAGAAGCAGGCTCTCCGCTGAGGCGGAGCCTGATGCGGGACTTGATCCCAGGACCCTGGGAGATAGCTTAACCATCTGAGCCACCCAGGCACCCTTGGAGATAGCTCTTGATAGAAAACGTGAGACTGGACCTCCTCCATCCTTGCTTTGTGACGTGATTGGTCTCTCAAAGTATTATTCCATTTCATTCTTTTCTTTTAGGTCACACTTGTTAATTCTGAATCTGCCAGATCATGCCTAGAACAGAAAGGAGAGTGGGGAGTTCAGTACCAGCTGAGTAAGAATTGCCACGGGTCTGTTCTGTTTTGTTTTGTTTTTTTAAAGCTTATTGATAATGCATTCTCCACAGTAGCTTTCCTAAGCATCATAGTTACCCATTTCTTTTTAAATCTGGCTAATTAGTTAATGTGTAGTGGGACTGTCTTTTTTTACTTTTTATTTTGAGATAACTATAAATATACATGCAGTTACAAGAAATAATAGAGATCCCATAAACCCCTTAGCCGAGTTTCCTCTGATGGAAACTTCTTGCTAAACTGTAGTTCCAGGGGCGCCTGGGTGGCTCAGTTGGTTAAGCGACTGCCTTCGGCTCAGGTCATGATCCTGGAGTCCCCGGATCGAGTCCCACTTCGGGCTCCCTGCTCGGCGGGGAGTCTGCTTTTCCCTCTGACCCTCTTCCCTCTCGTGCTCTCTATCTCTCATTCTCTCTCTCTCAAATAAATAAATAAAATCTTAAAAAAAAAATAAAAATAAAAATAAACTGTAGTTCCACACCACAACCAGGGTGCTGCTGCTGATACAGTTGAGCTACAGAACATTCCTATCACAAGGATCCCTCGTGTTGCCCTTCTATAGCCAAATCCATTTCCCTTCTGCTCCCCTCACCCTCTCTTCCTAATCTGTTCTCTTCTCCTGTGATTTTCGAGAATGTTATAGCCAAGGAGTCCTACAGTATGTGACCTTTGGGGATTGGCTTTTTTCACTCCGCAGAAAACACCCATCTTGCTGTGTACATGTATCAGGAGTTCATTTCTCCTTACTGGCTGTGTGGTTTCCTGTGGTGTGGGCATCCCACACTGCTTAACTGTTCACCCACTGAAGGACATCTGGGTTGTTTCTAATCTTTGACTCTTAGGAATAAAGCTGCTGGGGATGTCCACGCATAGGGTTCAGTGTGAACGTAAGTTTTCATTCTCTGGGATGAATGTCCATGAGCCCTGTTGCTGGGTGATATGGTCGTTGCATATTGATTTTTTAAGAAACTATTGTTTTCCAGAGTGGCTGCACCACTTCACCTTCTCCCCGGCCGTGTTTGAGCAGTCCAGTTCTTTGGCATCCTTGCCAGAATCTGCTGTTGCTGTTATTTTTTACTTTGGTCATCTTGATAGGTATATAATGAAATCTCAGTGTGGTTTTAATTTGCTTTTCCCCAGTCGCCAACAAGGTTGAAGGTCTTTCCAAGCCTTTATTCACCATCTGCATAGTCTTGGGGGTGGAATGTATCTTCAAGTCCATTGCCTATTGTCTAATTATATTTTTTTCCCTGTTGGATTTTGAGAATTCTTTATATATCCTGTATACCTGTCCTCTGTCAAAGGTTTGCAAAGGTTTCCAAATATTTTCTCCTGGTCTTTCGCTTATCTTTTCATCCTCTTAACAGGCTCTTTCACAGAACAAAAATTTTTAATTTTGATGAAATCCAACTTACCAGTTTCCCCTTTATGGATTGTACTTTTGATGTTCAGTATAAAAGCTCTATATCTAACCCTAGATCCCTAAGATTTTTCTCCCACTTTACCCCCAGAAGTTATAGTTTGGTGTTTACCTTTGAGTCCATGATTCATTTTGAATTAATTCTTATATAAGGTATGAAACTTTGGTGAAGTGCTTTTTTTGTTGTTTTTTGTCTACTGGGAGTCCGGTTGATCTAGCACCATTTGCTGAAAAGATTGTTCTTCCTCCACTGAATTGCTTTTGTGCCTTTGTCGACCATTAATTACGCATATTTATGTGGGTCTACTTCTGGGTTCTCAAGCTGTATCATTGGTCTGTATGTTTGTCCCTTCAAAAAGACCACACTGTCTTGAATACTGTACCTATTTGATACATCTTGAAATCAGACTGATTTGTCCCACTTTAATATTCTTTTTAAAAACTATTTTAGCTATTCTGGTTTCTTTGGCTTTACATTATACATTTGAGGATATTCCTATCTATATCTACAAAAAAATCTTGCGAGAATTTTGATAAGAATTTTGTCGAACCTATATATGGACTTGGGAAAAATTTATGTTTTTACTATGTTGAATTTTCCTAACCATAAATACAGTATATCTTTCTTTAGATATTCTTTGATTTCTTTCTTCAGCGTTTTAGTCTTCAACATACAAGTCCTATACATGTTTTGTTAGATTGACAACATATAATGTATTTCAGTATTTTAGGTGATTGTAAGTGGTATTTTATTTCTAACTTCACTGTCCACAAGTTCAAAGTTAGTATACAGAATTACAATTGACTTTTACATGTTTATCTTAGAGCCTCCCTGTGGTGTTGCCAAATTCGTTTGTTAGTTCTAGGAGTTTTTTGTAGATTCCTTGGGATGTTCTAGGTAACAACCATGTCATCTGGAAATAGGAACAGTTTTAGTTCTTTCTTTCCTTTCTGTATGCCTTTTATTTCCTTTCTCGTTTTATTGCACGAACTTGAACTTCCAGTACTATGTTCAGTCATGAGAGCGGGCCTCCTTGCCTTGTTCACAATCTTAGGAAGCATTCGCTCTTGATAACATTGAGTCTACTGTTAAGTATAATGCTGATCTGTGTGTGGTGGGCTGTTCTAAATGTTCTTTGTGGGAAAGGAGCAGTCTACTGATTCGATGCACCGTCTCCTTTAGAGGCAGTTCCCCTACTATATAGATGATTCAGGCCAAGTGGTTTGCTAGGGTAGAGTGGGAGAATGAAGACCTTAGAATTTGGAGTCAGAACATTCCGATTTAAATTTTGGCCCCCCCTACCTTCTAGCTAGATGGCCTGGGCAAATTACTCACACCTCTCAAAGCCCACTTCCTCGTCCACGAAAAAGGGAGAAAAGAGCGCCATCCTACTTCCTCCAAGAGCGCAGGTGTCCAGGGAAGTAGGGGCGTGTTCTTACAGCCCCTGCCAGGGGAGCCCTGTCCACACAGCGGGAGCTGGAAAATTGCCTTCACCCTGCCCTGCTGTGGCCCCACCCCAGCACGTTGATTTACTGATCTCTGTGGAAGATTTGACGACTTCTGATAGCTAGATCATTAGAATTTGCATTTGGAATCGTAAACTAAAAGATTAACTGCTCTGGGGATGTCTGGAGCGCAGACAGCCGAGTTCATTTCGCAGCTCAGCTCGTCCCCTCACCATCTGTGTCAGCTTGGGCAGACCATGTCACCCCCGAGTCCACGGTAAATGCCATCATCCGTGACATGGGAGTGAAGACAGAGCAACAGGCTCACAGGGCTGCTGTGGAGGTTAAATGAGTGAATTGGTGTCACGTTGTTGGCATGACATGTTAGCTGTGGTCATTACTATTGGTGACTATAACGGACACATACTTACTTGTGAATCACCTTTCTTAAAAAAAAATTGTTTGCTTTGCAGATTTTTAAAAAAATGGATTTGGCCAACCATGGACTTATTCTCCTGCAACAGTTAAACGCTCAGCGAGAGTTTGGTTTCCTGTGTGACTGCACGGTTGCCATCGGCGATGTGTACTTCAAGGCACACAAATCAGTTCTTGCTTCATTCTCCAATTACTTTAAGATGTTGTTTGTCCATCAGACCAGGTAACTAACGTGGTTGATAATAATCTAATGCCTGTAGACGCTGAACTTCATGGCCCTCTTCCCCTCCGAACCTGCTCTTAGCCCATCCAGACCATGGGGCTCCCCTCCTCTCCCTGGAACCCTAGGCCCCTGGGCTCCCAGTTTTCCCTCATGACCTCACCTGCCCCCTTTGCCCATCTTGGTCACTTCCACGGACCTTCGCGCCCCCAGCAGCCCCTCCACGCCCAGTACCCTGGCTAGGTGTCCCCCCCAACAGCAGGATGGGCAGTGGCCTCCTGAATCCCTTTCTCCCACTCCTCCAGCCCCAGCCCCCCGGACTCCCCGCACTCCTTTCCCTATTTGTATCTTTATCTGTCGGTCTAGTGAGAAGCTTGAGGGTATCAATTCCCCAGTTTCCTTCTTTTCTCTCTTAAAACATCTCAATCCCAGTATCTTGGCTTGATCTGTCCTTCCCATCTCGGAGGAAAGGACCCTCGATGTCTAAGGAAAAGTGATCTTCCTCCAACTCTCAGGCTGCAGATCCTACCTCTTACTCCTTGTTCTGTACTTTTCACTGCAGCCCCCCTCCCCCCCGCACCCGAGTCTGAAGGAGCCACGCTCCCCTGCCACCCTGACGGTGCTGCCTACCCCAGCTTCTCCTCTGTCTCACCTGAAGGTGTTCAGAGGGCGAGCCACAGCCTTGCTGGAGCTCCCTGCACTGCACCCCCCGACCCTGCCTCTCTGGTGGCCCTGTGGCCTGTGCTCCATCCCACTGAAATCACTTCTCAAAGGGCACCTCTTCATAGAAACCTCGGCTCTTCTCAGCCTCTGGCGTCCTTGTCAGCACTTGCTACCGCTTGCTTCCTCTTTTTAAGGGCCGTCATCTGCACTTTGATAATGCAGAACATTCCCTGTTTTCCTGCCCTCTGCGCGGGAGCCTTCGAGAGCCTGCCGAGTTTTGGTCTTGAGCTTTCCATGCTTCTTTCCATGTGCACTCTTCTGAGGGGGGCTCGTTTCTCCTGGATTTGACCTCCACTGGAAACCATAAGTTTACAGCTCTGGCCTTGACCTTTCTCTGTGTCCAGGACTCTGCTTCCCAAGGCTGCGAGGCTGGCTGCCCAAGCGGTAGAGTCGAGTATCTGCGTGTCTGAAGTGGAATTAGGCCTTCCCACGTCCTTCCCTCGCTTCCCTGTTCATGTCCAAGTAACCTGCACTTGAAATTGCTCTAAAACCCCACTCTCTCGGTCCCCAAATCATGTTTCTCTCACAGTCCCTTTTGCATTAGCTCTTTCCTCCCCTTCTTACTTCCTCCCATTTCCTAATCATTCCCGTCAGATGAATATTCCTAAACAGCGCTTTGATTGTATGACACCTTTGATCAGAAGCCTACTCCGTGGCGCTACTCCTTTGATCAGAAACCTAGAGGATATCCATTGCATGTCAACACAGCACACAGATCCCTGCTTCTCTTTCAAGGCCCCGCAGGCTGGCAGCCTGACCTCCACCCTGCTTGGCCACCCCGCCCCCCCGGCCCAGCCCCTGAGCCCACCTCCGCCCCCCCACCTCTTCCGTGACCCCTCCCCACAGTGATCCAAAGCCATCTCTTCCTTTCTCACATTTCACAGCAAGATCAGCACATTTTCCCTGTGTTGTTCTTGGTGGACTTATCTCCCCTCCTCATTTGTAAGTTTTCTGAGGGCAGAGACCGGGTTGGACCAAGCTTTGTGGACGCCCCAGTGTATAGGTCAGGTATTTGTACAAATTTAAGCCACTTGTTAAGTGTCTGGAGGAGCAGAATGGGTGAAGAAGAGGAATAATGGCCAGCCGAAGTTGCTTTGTCTTGCGACACTAAGGCTATTCCCTTTTACCTCATTGTCAGAGACTGACTTAGAAGTTTCAACACAATGAGTTAACCTGTCTTGAAAGGGGGAAGATTTTCATTTTGAGGAGTAAAAGAATAGTTTAATGAGTTTTAAATAGATGCAAGAAACTTAAGTGGAGAGCAGTTAAATGCCTTTGTAAAAAGGAAATGTGGTTATCTGTGTAGATCAGAGTCCCAAGTGTTACTGGGCTGGAGGCGGCACGCGCCATTTCTCTTTGAGACAAAGCAAATCAGGGCAAAAGCCAGAGGCAGGCTTTTCAACCAGCGCCTTTTTTGCAAGGCACTGTGAACTGCCACCTCATGATGCAAAAGGTGGGCTGAGACTACAATGTTTTCACACTTGGTTTAAGAGTGTTTTATTGTCTGTAGTACCACTAGATGTCTCTGTCTCGTGTGCAGCACCCCAAGTGGTTAAGCTTTAAATCTTGTAGGGCTGCAAACACAGAGCTCCCCAAACTGCAGAGAGGCAGGTTTGGCTCAGCACAACCTTCTGAATGAGGTGAACATTGTTTAAAATTAATTATTGCCCCAGTTCTTTAAGCCCTTCTTTGACTTTGAGATTCTAGCGAAGGAAAGATTAAAAATGCAAATTACTGCGAAAGTTTGTACAAAGGGCTTGTGCCGGTGCTGAAACCATATTTTTCCTGTACAAGTGTTGTCTCAAGCAGACACCTACAAATCAAAGCATGCAGGTGTAATTATCTTGTGGAGAGCTATGTCCTTCCAGAAGGGCTTGGAAATGACCAAAGTCCGGGGCCCATAGCGCGCAGAGAGGCCTAGCTGCCTGGGAGGGAAAGCAGTCAAGGATGGAAATTGCTGGAATGTGACCTAAGGAACTTTTTTAAATAACTTTTTTTAAAGTGTTTCTATGTGTATATGGGTGCATGTGTTCTTCTGCTTTAAGAAAAAAAATTGAAATCAAGATAATTGGTTTCTGGGAACCTCCCAGGGCCCTAGGCGCTGGCCTTAAATCCGAGAGACTCGAGACTCGCTGCCTCCCTTTCCCTGGTGGTTTCTCACCAGCCCCGTGGGCCCCTTCGGAATCCTTCTCCCTCCAGCCTGGTGGGGTCTCCCAGCCCCATTTATTCTTTGCCTTCGGAGATTGCACACAGTTCTATAAAACCTGAGCTCTGCTCAGTCACCACCCATCACTGGCAGGGGACAGAGGACAACCTGTACAATAACAAATGAGGGAAAATCATAAAACTTATGACAAAATTTTGTTGGGAAGGGGCCCTGCTTGGTACTTACCACTCACAGATGCTAAAAAACACAGCCCTCCTTGGGATTTTCGGCCCTTCTCTTCTCTTTCTGGGAGGCAGAGGGGGGCTCACTGTCCCTTCTGCCTAGAGGAACATTCCCTCCCAGCAGAACAAAGGTGCCCTGTAATCTCCTGGGAGTACTTCGTATCTCTGAAGGCCTGTGGTTTCCCAGTTCTCTGTTTTGGAGGTGATTGTTTACATGATTAAAGTATTCTTCACCACACATGATCCCTGAAGTTTTGTTTTGAATATTGAACTTCCCTAGAGCCCCTTAAATGCATTCTAGTGTACACAGAGTATTATTGGCACTCGCCCTGTGCTTGAAGGGAAGACCAACTGTAATTGCATTCCTGTTTAAAGGAATATAAAGAGAGGACTGTAAAAAGATTCCAAAGGAAGATGAGTGATCTGTCTTTTTAAAAAAATAGAGTCACAGAAGCTCTGTTCTTTCTGCCATCAAAGTGCTGCTAGTTTTTATGCATAATCTTTATTCTTTGACTTCCATACTTCGTAGGCAGACATTTTTCACATGATTATTTGTATGCAGTCATCTTGAAATATATACACATTGATGGCAAGACAGGAATTAGTCAAATCTGTTCTGTCACAAATGCTATTAAAGTCACTCTTTTAAAATACAGAATAAAATGTTAAATTTGGAAGAGCAAGGTATTACTTTTTTAGCATATCGGAAAATATTTATCGATAAGATAAACAGCTAAAGGAGACAAAAAGAGAATAGTAAGAAGTGATATAATCAAAAATGATTATAAATTCTAAGAACCTAATTAAATAATCCATTTTAAAAAATGATTATACATTCTAAAGGCATTCAAGGAAGCTGTCTTTGAAACTGCATTGTCTGTAGAATATACTCACTCAGTGGACGATAGCACATAACTCGTACTATATAGATACAATCATTGCTTTCTAATGATGCATTAGAATTTCTGTCATTAGTGATGGTTTAGGAAGAATTCTTTGGGACTTCTTGATTCAAGCTGCTTGATCAGAATGATGTTTCTGGAAAGAGGCAGACACTAGCGTCTAAAAGTTAGAAAATCAGCTGCTTTAGGTGCCTCAGATAAATCACTGGACTTTTGGGGATCTCAGTTTCCAGATCTGTCAAATGGGAACAATCCAGATCTGCCTTAACTACTACACAGGATCATTTTCATGCTCTAAACAATTTTGGTGTCATGGGTTTCGAATGAGACCGAGATTTAAATCCCTCTTAGGAACTCTGATACTGAGAGCAAGGCATGAATCTCTTTGAGCCTCAGTCCCTTATCTGTAAAATGAGAATTAATGGCAGTTTAATGAGATCATGGCTGTAAAGGCCAGCTGTAGTTCTGTTGATGGTGGTGGTATTTACATTTCGTAAGGAAGGGAGTTGTGCTGGAACCGCTTTTTAATACAGTCCTGCAATACTGGGAAGGTGATCTGACCCCATTTGACCTAGAATGTTCCTCCATACCTTCCTACAGGAGATAGATCAGAGAGTAGAGAGTTCAGAGCACCAACAGAATTAGGTTTTATTTTTCTCTTACTTTTGTCGTGTGGCTCTTAGCACTTGTTCATACTAGCCCAGCCGCCGCCGCCCCCCCCTCCCCGTATCATTTTACGAATGAAGAAGCTTTCTCATCAGGTAGATTGTTTGATTTGCCTTAAAAGATCTCCTGCTGAGCTCTGGATGGCATTGGATCAATAGAAAATCATAGACTTTTAGCGAAAGATCTGCCAGGTCAACGGTTCTTAACCATGACTGGGTCACAGGCCACCTTCAGACTGATAAGCAATAGATTCTCTGCACAAAACACAAAATTTTTTTTTATAGAACTCTTGCAGTTCTATCTAAAACTACAAGATGATAGAATTTCACGTAGACTATTAGGAGAAAAACTGCTTCAGGAGTCTAAGAGTTAAGGTGTCATATTTGCTTAACATGAACTTTTTCCTTCTCGGTCCTTGAAAATATATTTATTGTATCTCTCTGTTCTTAATACAGTTAAATTACATAGGTTCCAGTTATCTCCCCTGAGTATTCCATTTCACGAAACACTTAACAGTAAGAAACGGGAAATGCTCTTGTTTCATTTGCCCTTAAAAAGTGGCCCATTTTTTTCTTCAGCGGTCATGTTCTCATCGGAGACGTGGGTTGACATTTACTTACAGATTGTTCACTTGTTTCTTCCAGTGAGTGTGTCCGTTTGAAACCAACTGACATACAGCCAGATATTTTCAGCTATCTCTTACATTTGATGTACACTGGCAAGATGGCACCTCAACTGATTGATCCTGTTAGATTAGAACAGGGGATCAAGTTTCTGCACGCCTACCCGCTGATCCAGGAAGCCAGCCTGGCCAGCCAAGGAGCCTTTTCTCATCCCGACCAAGTCTTCCCCCTGGCCTCTTCCCTGTATGGCATTCAGATTGCAGATCACCAGTTGAGACAAGCCACCAAGCTTGCCTCCGCCCCTGAGAAGCTCGGGCGGGAACCCCGGCCACAGCCGCCCAGGATGAGCCAGGAGCAGGTGCCTGAGGCCTCCCAGCTCTCGCAGCTGACTTCAAACCTGGCCCAGGTGACTCGGACGCACCTGACTCCCTCGGACCCCCTGCAGACCTCGCTGTCTCCAGAACTCGTTTCCACTCCTGTGCCCCCCACTCCCGCTGGGGAGGAGGCCAATCTGGAAGCCTCTTCCTCGGACGAGCAGCCAGCACCCCTCACCATAGCCCACGTCAAGCCGAGCATCATGAAGAGGAACGGGAGCTTCCCGAAGTACTACGCCTGCCACCTGTGCGGCCGGCGCTTCACGCTGCGGAGCAGTTTGCGGGAACACCTCCAGATCCACACGGGGGTCCCGTTCACGGCCGGCCAGCCAGGAGAAAGCCGGGCGCCCCTGTCTCTTTGTAGCAACGCGGCCGACCTGGGGAAGGACGCCATGGAGGTGCCCGAGGCCGGGATGGTCAGTGACAGTGAGCTGCCGCACATCTCCGACTCCCCCATCATCGACGGGCAGCAGCACTCGGAGACGCCGCCGCCCTCCGACATCGCGGACATAGACAACCTGGAGCAGGCCGACCAAGAGCGCGAGGTCAAGCGGCGCAAGTACGAGTGCACCATCTGCGGCCGCAAGTTCATCCAGAAGAGCCACTGGCGGGAGCACATGTACATACACACCGGCAAGCCCTTCAAATGCAGCACGTGTGACAAGAGCTTTTGCAGGGCCAACCAGGCGGCCCGGCATGTGTGCCTCAATCAGAGCATCGACACCTACACCATGGTGGACAAACAGACCCTGGAGCTCTGCACGTTTGAGGAAGGCAGTCAGATGGACAACATGTTGGTCCAGACCAACAAACCCTACAAATGCAACTTGTGTGACAAAACGTTCTCGACTCCCAATGAGGTGGTTAAACATTCGTGCCAAAACCAGAACTCGGACGTTTTTGCCCTGGACGAGGGGCGGTCCATTCTCCTGGGCAGTGGGGACTCTGAAGTCACGGAACCTGACCACCCGGTGTTAGCTTCCATCAAAAAGGAACAGGAAACAGTGTTGTTAGACTGAATGTGACCTACCTTTTTAAAAACTGTCATTTTTACAGAGACTGTCTCCTCTCTCTTTCTCCGCCCTCCCCTCCCACCCCCCAGTTCAGAACCGTAGTTCTCCATGGCATGATACAAACAGGTCCCCGGCCCCTCTGTCCCTCCCACCCCCTCCCTGTCCCCAGCCCTTCCTCCGCAAAGGCTTTGTGCATTATAAACCTGGAACATACTTACTTCGAGTCAGGGGATATTGGAGAGGTAATGGTCAGTAGTACTTATAAGCTCAAATAGATTTTGAGACGTTTTAGATTATTTAAAAGCCTACTTGGAACTAATGAAGGGTATATAACAAAACAAAACAACTAGAATGCAATTTGGTAAGCGAAAATTATGACTTTCCCTGGGTAATAAGTCTTCCTTCTCAGAAAATGGCAGAAAATACAGCATGCTTCTTAAAGATACCGCTGGGCTCTGTACTATGCAAAATCTAGAAGGTGTGGGGAAACTTGAAACCCAAGCAAATGTTCTTAGTATTTTATCCTCCAGGTCTTATTTCAGAATGCATCCTTTGAGATTATGTCCAGTCAAGAAAAATCATTCGCTAAGAAATCTACTTGAACAAAACACAAAAGAGAAAAAGTAATAATGTGATGGCAATCTTAATTTTTGGATAAAACATGACAAAGCTGTGAGTTTGTGTGTTTGTAAGAGAAAACGTGTGGATATTTGCGATAAACAGGTGTATTAACGCACATGCCTTATCAAATTGCTGGCTTCTTTCAAAGTTGAACAAGAACAAAATTCTGTTTTAGTTTCTGATAAATCTGTTGGTTGTTTTTAAAATCAGATTTGAAAGTACTATTCTATAGATTGTCTTTCTGAATAGAAAACGACATGCCATTCCAGCAGCTGCCAGTGTTAAATTTGTTTTAGCACCGACCGGCTGCTTTAAATCAGTGTATGTATGCAGGAAAGTGCATCTCAGAGGGGAGGTTGTGAGCAGAGCATGTAGTAACTTTAATGACTTTAAATGTTAATGCTGATAGTTTACTGGCAAGATTCATTGAAGCATCCAAAATGGCAGAGAAAAATCAGGACAAAAAAACCTAATTGCTGTTTGGGGAAAAAACTTGATTTTGATGTTTCATCTCCACCTTTTTTTTTTCCCTTTTTCTTTAAACACCTGAAATTTTCCTCCATTGGCCTGAAAGCAGTAAAACGCATCCATTAATCTTTCCTTAGGCCAGTAACAGAATGGTCTGACAGGACAAAACAGGAGCCAGAAATAAGGACCGAAGGGAAAAGGGAAGTTAGCTGTGCTGTATGTATATGTTTAAAACTGAATATCCCGTCATCCTGTTTCATGTATAGTTGAGTTCTCAGATTTGTAAGTTTTTATACATACTTTCATTGAATAAACATTTAATTAAATGGGTATTTTATTGTATCTGCATATTACTCTGTCTCCCCAAAAAGATGCCAGGAGGGGGACGTGGTCTGAGGAGGCATCTCCTTGCTGTACCCCTCCTTCTGTCTGCAGAACTTCGGGCAGGCGGGTCCCCTCACTTGAGTGGCATTTTCCACCTCTGTACAACGAAAACCAGGTAACCCCTGAATCGGCAGATTGTGGGAATCAAATGAAGAATCTGTAGGAGGGTGCTATGGACAGTCCAAGCTTGGCCAGGAAGAGATCGGGAGGTCATCCTACCCAACTTTATTTTACGAGGAAGAAAAAAAGACTCCAAGAGGGGTTTACCTAAAAATGACACAAAGTCGTGCTACATAAACCTAGACTTTTTTTTTTTTAAGATTTTATTTATTTATTTGACAGAGAGAGACACCATGAGAGAAGGAACACAAGCAGCAGGGGTGGGAGAGGGAGAAGCAGGCTTCCCGCGGAGCAGGGAGCCCGATGCGGGGCTCGATCGCAGGACCCCGGGATCATGACCTGAGCCAAAGGCAGACGCTTAACGACTGAGCCACCCAGGCGCCCCTAAACCTAGACTCTTAAGTAGTGAGAGGTTTCCACCTAGTTCATCTTTTTTTTTTTTTAACTATATTCACTGAATCTCCCAATTTAAATGAGAGTCTTGTGCCAAATTAACTTCCCTGAGTATCTGGGGAAGGGAAATCCAGGCATGTCCCCGCTGCCCTCCACAGCGCTCCCGGCAGCTATGAAGGGACCTGGGTCACGGCCAGGGGCTCTTAAAGAGCAGAAAGTCATGGGAATCACGAGGGATCTGGTGGGTGAGGAGAGAGAGCGAGGCTAAGATGCCAGCCAGCCCCAGCTCACTCCCTGCAATTTGGTGGAGGGGGGAGGGCAGGAACTGTGTGGTCAGCTACTCATTATGGGTGGTCCAGGGGCTCTTACCACTAGCTTGTGGCTACCTCCTCTTGTGACAGACCTGCCAGTCCTCCGCACCCTAGGATGCTCGCTGGCTCTTTAATCACAAGAGGTTATAAATTTAACCATTTATTCTTAATTTTTGATGGTCCCAATTTAAACAAGCTTTGGAAATTTCAGTTGATGGTGGGATCGGTCTGAACACCTAAGCTTCAGCATTTTTTTTTTTAAGATTTTATTTACTTATTTATTTGAGAGAGCGAGAAAGCACATGAGAGGGGGGAGGGTCAGAGGGAGAAGCAGACTCCCGCTGAGCAGTGAGCCTGATGCGGGACTTGATCCCGGGACTCCAGGATCATGACCTGAGCCGAAGGCAGTCGCTTAACCAACTGAGGCACCCAGGCGCCCTAAGCGTCAGCATTAATTGGCGTTGTCACTCTCCACGTTTTAGCCCTTATTAACACCTCTGCTCCTACCACTTTTCCATTCATAGGGAAAACAATTAAAAGTGATTCATTCGTTCAACAGATACAGCTAAAAAAATTTGTAAAGTACTGTAGGATTTTACCTTACCATAGGAAACAACGGCTGTAATGGGAAGAAAGCCTTGCCATCAAAAGGTATTTGTTAATTATTCCCCAATAAACTGGAAAATATATACATATATAAAGTTGCTTTGGATAGTGATAGAAGAATGGAGAGTGGAGTGGACCCCAAACATCCTCCTTTTTAAAGTCATGGGGGGACACCTGGCCGGCTCAGTCAGTGGAGCAGTGTGACTGTTGATCTCGGGGTTGTAAGTTCGAGCCCCATGTTGGGTGTAGAGATTACTTAAAAAAAAAAAAAAAAAGTCACAGAAATCAGCCACTATTGTTATTTGTAATTTCCCTCCCAAGAAAGGGAAAGAGCTGAGGCATGCAGAAAGAGCCCTTCAGTTCAAAATGTCAGGCCTTGGTCAGGCATTTCAGGTAAAACACTGAATTGCTATGTTTAAAAAAGATGGAGGCACTTAGGAGGATGGTCCGGGAGGATGGTGTGTGGGGGGCGTGGGAGGAGTACTTTCTATGACTTGACTGGGAATTACGGTGGGGGAGGGGGAGCCCTCTTCACTCATTCACTAGTAAGGAATGTTGAGACGAACTTACTTGTATGGAGAGTAGTGTATTGGAATGGAATGGAACTTGTTCTTGAGGTTGGCTGCATTTTTTAGGACAATTTTCAGAGTCCTCAAAATACTTAAATTGCATTTTGCTTTGCTTTAGTTCTGCATTTCAGTCTGGAACAAATTATTACTATCCATCATTGGCAAGTAAGCAAGATTTAGGCTTAGAAATCTTTGGGTAAATAAAAAACTGTCTTAAGATATAGGTCAACTAATCTGCCTCTTCTAGAACCAGCTCCTTAAACACAACTGGAAGAACATCAACTAAACCGTTAACAGCTCTCTAAATAAAAAGTAGACTCAGAATCTTTAATGTGAAAAAAACTGGACCGGGATGAAATGATATTCTGTGGTTTCATTCTCCTTGGACCAAAATAATTCTGAACATAAAACATGGTTATTCTTGACCCAAGTTTGTGCTCTTCTCTGGGAAATACATAATCACCTGCCCTGCCTAATTTCCTGGCGGTTATGAACATCGCTCCTTGTGAGGAAGGCATTGTCAATGGAAGGGCTGAGTGGGGGAACGTGAGATCCTCAACTGGGTTGTCTGTGTGCTAGGTGTTTCATTTACTCCCAATCATCCTGGCAGGCATGTGTCCCATTTTTATAAATGAGGAAATTGAGGCCCAAAGAAATTAAATAACCTGAGGTTATCCAGCCATATAGACAGCCAGGATTTTAAACCCCATGTGGCTCCCTCAAAAAGCAATGCTCTTTCTACTCCCCCAGGGATGTTCTACACCCAACAGGCACCTTTGACCAGCCCTTGGCAATCAACAAGTCCTGTATTGTTGTAATTGACAAGCCTTTGATTCAGCAAAAGCAAGAAGTACAAGGCATGGATGGCCTTCCTTGCTCATCTGACCTACTTTTTTGTATTTGGTTTCAGACCTAGGTTTGTCCAAATTATATTAAGAGGGGGGAAAAAAGATATTTTCCCAAATGTGCAAACACTTCTAAGGGCTAGAAGCAATTGCTGGGGGAGAGGTGCCAGGCACAGGGGAGAGCTTTTTCACCTGTTAACCCATTTGTTCTGCTATTGAGGCAATTAACTTAAATCCGTTCTAAAACCTTATATTACAGGGCGCCTGGGTGGCTCAGTCGTTAAGCGTCTGCCTTCGGCTCAGGTCATGATCCCAGAGTCCTGGGATCGAGTCCCACATCGGGCTCCCTGCTCAGCGGGAAGCCTGCTTCTCCCTCTCCCACTCCCCCTGCTTGTGTTCCTGCTCTCACTGTCTCTGTCAAATAAATAAAATCTTTAAAAAAACAATAATAAAATAAAATAAAACCTTATATTACAGCAGTGGTCCTACAACAAGCACATCAGAATCTCCTGGAGGGCTTGATAAAGACTTTCAGCCCGGCAGAGTATGTGATTCAGTCCGTCTAGGGTCAGGCCCAAGAATTTGCATGTCTAATAGGTTCCCAGATGAGATGACGATGATGATGATGATACTGGGAGCCACATTTTTTTTTAAAGATTTTTATTTGAGGGAGAGCACGAGCAGGGGGAGAGAAAGAAGTAGACTCCCCACTGACCAGGGAGCCGGACGCCGGCTCTATCCCATGACCCCGGGATCATGACCTGAGCCAAAGGCAGATGCTTAACCAGCTGAGCCACCCAGATGCCCCCAGGAGCCACGTCTTGAGAACCATGTATCATTTCTGCTATATTACTGTCCTTTCCTGGTTCTACTTGCTTCTCAGAATTGCAATAACCGGGGGAACTAATAAGGGGCCAGACAGGGACCTGTGACATTTCTAGCATTCTGCTTTCTTTGAAGCAAAGTGCTCCTTAATGAGATAGATATATGCTCTGTACACATTGGCACAGGAGCCCTTAGAAGAAATGGGCTTTATTCTAGATCTCCCTCTTCTCATTCTAAATGCCCCTGTAACCTGTGAGCACAGAAAAGAATGAAGCTGAAGTAATCAAATACCCTAAGTAGTTTTCAAGGAGGCCACCTAGTTTCCTCCTTGGTAAAAGAGGCAGGGATCCAGCTGAGGACACAAAATGGCATTAGGTGGTTCATTAAGGCCACATAACCCCTTAGAGGTAAATACACAGCCCCCATTTCCTAAGCCAGGGCCCTTCTGCTACCATCACAATACCTGGGAAACCCTACCTAGCTGTGAGGCGTTTCATTGTATTTCTATAATTTTGTCAGCAAAAGAAAAGGAACTCAAGAATCTCATCTTTGCAGTTAGGTAGTGTCGCCTATAAGTAGACAAATGTGGGAGAGAACCGGGAGCCTGCATGATACAGCGTCCAGAGGAACCTGGGACTGACCCAGGACACTGCAGGCTTGGTCCCTCCCACAGGCCCTCCACCCCCAGGTAGCGTGTCTCTCCTGCCAAGTCTCCCCGGGGAGAGGTGCAGCAGGCCACAGAAGCTGAACAGGCAACAGGGAGGAAAGAAAAGAAATGCAGATGACACACAGTGGATGTTTCATGTTTAAAAAAGAGCGCGTCTTAATAAGGTGTATCTTCATAACATTTTAGGAAGATCAGTGTCATTATTCTGAATCTACCAAAACCTTCAAGGAAAGGTGGTCACCAGCGGTCATGACGTTGGCTCCGGAGACGGCTTTATTTAAATTTCTCTTTCTAATTACTAATGTGAATGCATTGTGGTGCATTTTGCTCTCTAGTTCTTAAAGCACGTTCCCAACAGGAAAATCTTGTGAAGCATGTAGTTGTAAGTTCTGAAATGACACTGCTGTGACAAGGTAAGGAGCCTCCTCTCTCAGTCACCCAACCAAAGTTTGTGTGTGAGATTTTAAGACACATTGCCAGGATCCCTGTAGGTTATTTCCCCTCTCTGGGTCTCCCAGGACATAGAACAGAAGCGCCATTGCTGTTTTGTTGGTCTCAACTCTTTTGAGACCCACATATCCAGCTGCTGATCCTGCATTTGTCCTTGGAGAGCTCATGGGCCTCTCTAATTGAACATTTCCCAAACTGATGATTATCCCCTGGCCCCACCCATGACAGGGCTTGGCTCCATATGCAGGCTGGTAACCCAGAAACTTTCTTCACCCCACATAGTTCCCATGGCAGATAATGAGGTGCCATGCCCTGTTGATTCTACCCTCCTAAATCTCTTGACCTCATGCGCAGCTCGCCAGCCAAACGGCCACTACTTTAATGTCAGCCATGATCAACTCCTGCCTGGACTTTATACTCACGTTTGCTGGTCCTCCTCCCAACCTCCAGTCTTCAAATCTCTAGAAGCTGGAAGCAATTCTCTAGATGCATTACATTTTATTTTTTTTGAAGATTTATTTGAGAGAGCGTGAGCGAGCACGAGTGGTGGGAGGGGTAGATGGAGAAGCAGATTCCCCAGAGCAGGGAGCCTGACATGGGGTGAGGATCCATCCCAGGACCTCAAGATCATGGCCTGAGTCAAAGGCAGAAGCTTAACTGACTGAGCCACCCAGGCACCCCTGAGATGCATGACATTTTAGGTAAAAACTCCTTTCTTATGAAGGGCTGTCCTGGGCCTTGCAGGATGACAAGGCCCCAGGGCCTCAACACATTTAAATTCTAGTAACACCCTTTCTTACCACGGAAACCAAAACCGCTACAAGGAATAGACTAAACAGCACCACAACCCCTAACACTTCCTTGGGAATCCCTAACACACACAAGGATATCGCTTCACTTCCCTGCTAAGTTATCTTAATGATTTATAGCAAGTCTCACTCCCTAAAATGGCCCACTGGCCGACTCTGCAATATTATTTCTATAAAGTCTTTCAAAAGAACACAAGTTATGTTCAGGTTTCAAGTTCTAGAGGAAACCCCACCTGCTTTTCCAGGTATCAGGTGAGCTCCTGAAGCTAACAGGGATGAGTAGAATCAAGCACAGTGTGGTTTTTTAAAATTAACCTAATTTATAGTTTTGCCTCTGTGCTAGTTAATTATACCAAGTTATTTGGAATTAGAATAAAAGGTTGAGTTAGAGGTAGGCTTTAGTACTCAATATCCTGCCGTGGGAAAATAGCATGTTCAGTCCTATTTCCTTTATTTAGGAAATGCTATTCTATCTCTGGTCTCCAAATATGAGTGTTATGGTGAAGCTGTTCTTTCTTAAGATTTATTCATTTGAGAGCGAGGGCGAGCAAGCACGAGCAACGTGGTGGGGAGGGGTAAAAGAGGGAAAAGCAGAGTCCCCGCTGAGCAGGGAGCCCAACGCGGGCTCGAACTCAGGACCCTGGGATCATGACCTGAGCCGAAGAGAGATGCTTAATGGAGTAAGCCACCTAGGAGCCGCTGAAGCTGCTCTTTAAGACGTTAATGTAAAACTTGTGTTCCAATTTTCAATGTCAACAAGCAATGGAAGAACATGCGAAGTTTTGAGATCACCTCACTCATAACTGGAGGTAGGGCACTGGAACACTGTCTTACTTATAGAGATCTAAAAAGTAGGGCTGAGGGGCGCCTGGGTGGCTCAGTCGTTGGGCGTCTGCCTTCGGCTCAGGTCATGATCCCAAGGTCCTGGGATCAAGCCCTGCATCAGGCTCCCTGCTCGGCGGGAGGCCCGCCTCTCCCTCTCCCACTCCCCCTGCTTGTGTTCCTGCTCTCGCTCTCTCTCTCTGTCAAATAAACAAATAAAATCTTAAAAAAAAAAAGTAGGGTTGATTTCTAAGCTGTGACAGCATTAAAAAAAGTCATGACTATCTTCACCACCATGCCATCCCCAAGTCCTGGTCACCTTAACCAAAACCTTCGAAGTTAAAAACAAAACAAAAACCCTCAAGTGACTTAAAAGCTGGTGGGTTTTTTTTTCTTTTTCTTTTTTTTTTCTTTTAAAGATTTTATTTATTTATTTGAGAGAGAGAATGAGAGACAGAGAGCACGAGAGGGAAGAGGGTCAGAGGGAGAAGCAGACCCCTCGCTGAGCAGGGAGTCCGATGCGGGACTCGATCCCGGGACTCCAGGATCATGACCTGAGCCAAAGGCAGTCGCTTAACCAACTGAGCCACCCAGGCGCCCGGGTTTTTTTTTTTTTCTTTTTAAAAGATTTTATTTATTTGACAGAGGGTAGAGAGAGCACAAGCAGGGGATGCGGCAGGAGAGGGAGAAGCTGACTCCCCGCTGAGCAGAGAGCCTGACATGGGGCTTGATCCCAGGACCCCGGGACCATGACCTGAGCCCAAGGCAGACACCCAACCGAGCCACCCAGGCACCCCATTAAAAGCTGGTGGTTTAAATCTTAGCTTTCTCATACATAAAACTAGGACCCAGATCCTCAGAGAATTTCCAGTGACACAGGTGGAGATGGTAAGGAATTTGGTGGGGGGGGGGGAGAAATCTGCATTTACACAAGAATTATGCCAGGATGTCCAGCAGCAGATCCATTTCCAGAATCACATTAGAAATGAACAGTCACATAGGCTTGAAGTTACAGGACTCTGGTTGTGTTCAGCTTCCATCCTATCGCCACCTGAGACTTCTGGGGCTGGGTCCATTTCCTTCCTTGTAGAGCTGGGTGAAGGGTTTCTAACTCCGGTTCTAGTTACTGGTTGGGATTTCAGAGGAGGTCTGTGTGACTATCCAAAAACTGCATTTTGGGGAGTTTGAGGTCAGCCAGAGGCTTAATGAGATTCTAATTAAAGGGCTCTTGGCCTCCAAAAGGTTAAGAATCACTGATAGTTTTTTGTGCATTGTACACTGTCCCAGGTACATTCCAAACTCCCATGATGCTCTGTGGAAAATGTTGCAAAGGATGGATAAGTAATTAAAAGAAGAAGTTAAATGTGCGATGACTATCACACCAGTAGAGAAAAGTAATCAAAACTGAATTAAGGTGAAATTACAGAAAAAAAATCCATGGCATTTAATTAGGTTGCATTTTATTTAGATAAATGAAAATTTGCCCCCAAACAGAACTAGTAATCAAATATTGTCTCAGGTTAAAAGGAAACTGCTATGTTTGAAGCTTACACTGAAAGCTAACATTTCCAGCCCTTGACTATTTGTAGCTCCAAACACCAAAGGAAAATACTGGAACACAGTATTCATGACAGAGAGAGGCAACTCATGTGTACCATTAGCAAAATAACCTGAGGGGGAACATTTTATATTCCTCCATTACAAGAAGTGGTGAGAGTTTACAAGTCTTGCATTGCGTTCTATTTTACATGGTTCCACAGTAATGCCAAAAATAGCAAAATATAGGCACTTGCTCCAAATTCTGCAGTTTACATTTGGTTATTATGTACTTCATAAATTAACAGCAGCTTTAGAATTATAATACAGAATTCTATTTCATGCTACTGTTAATAGTATTTCCTCCGGTTAATGAAAATGTTGCTTAACAGACATAGGTATAGAGCTCATACAGAGGTAATCCGGGGCACATCCAGACAGGAGTATGAAAGCACAGTCACTGCTGGAAAACCACTTGCCAAGGCCAGAATGGCTTGGCCACAGGTGGTCCGAGAACAGCAAACACAAACAGAACGGAGTGGGGGGGATGGGATTTAAAAAAACAAAAATCACTTACCACTTGACTACAAGAATCTTTAATTGGTTCAAAGCGAAGCTTCCTCCTGCCATAGAGACGAAGTTAGTGTTTGGACCTATCAGGAGCCCCTTACAAGTTGCTCTCATTTACAAGGGCCTCTTGGTCGATCAAAAACTGACACCAGCACTTGGATTTTTTTTAAGTCTCAAGTTGGCAAAAGATATTTAGATCAGAGGGCTTTTTTTTTTTTAATTTGGGGATTTTGAAGTTTAATAATAAAGAAGCTCAGATGACTATTATATAGGAGACTAACTCCTAGAAGGATATTAAACATTTACCAACTATGAGGCCATACACTGTTATCTGAGGTGTCTCTCTGATATGGCCCTTTTTTTGGTCGTCAGGTTTGTTGATCTAGGATCAACTACTTTCTAACAGCCTGTTTTCCATCTGCTAAACTAGTCTTTCTAGGACATTTTAAAGTCATTAACTAGCAGTCGTAATTTCAGTTTGCAAACTCAAGTTCTGAGTTTGAGTGCAATTTAAGATGCCTCTGTGGCCAAGCTATTTCTATGTGTGAAAAAGTGGGACACTACATAGGTAATTGTGGCCAAAGTCTGACGAAGTCTTTTACATATTGGCATAAATCACAAATCATTTTGACATTTAAAAAAAATTCCCAAATCGCCTGATGGACAAGGCATTTTTACTATTAGGCCTTCTTAAAAATTTCTTTTTAGATTTTTCTCATTGTTTAAAACCAAAAACAATAAAAGAAAATTGACCTTTTCAAGAAGACACCACCAGATGGTAGCACTGGATCAGTTCTGTCAGTCTGAAAAGCTCCTGGGTCATCTTCGATGATGCCTCTCTGCTGGGAGTTCCTCTGAACATTACCTCAAACCGATATCCACAGGTGACACCATGTAGTGACCACACTGGAAACTTCTACCTTATCTGCTTTTAGAACTCAGGAAACATGCCCCAGGCTTCCTAGTATCTAATAAAACCAGCAAATCTAAGTGAAGCATATATTTTATTTAAATCAGTCGTCAAATCACAGTTTATCCAAATGAACATAATGCAACACTGTCCTCCAAAGAGTGGGCATAAATATGGCACAGACACAATCCAGGACCTATCAAAATACCATTTGTCTAGAACCTGACTTTACTTCGTGCTCTGTGTGAATGTCGTCCAGCATAGAAGAGTAGAATCAAAACCTTAAAACAGCCAATTGTTTTCTTGATAAGATGAAAAACATTTCTCACTACTTTGCCTTGGGATTTAAGCACACTCATCTCTCCAAACAGCCTCAACAATTCAGAGAAAAGGCTTAAAGTTAATCCACTACTGAAAAAAACTCCCTTCCAACCCCCACTGGGCTAGAAAGAAAAATTTCACAGTAACAATGGAACATTCTGTATGTTCCCCCCCCTCCCAAAAAAAGGCTTTTTATTTTTAGCACACTGTGCATAATGGGAAAGTGACCAATTTTAGAGCGGTAGGAAACACGGACCCTACTCCTTAGTGGATTTTAAAGTACAAACTATAGCTTCTGATCAGGAATGTTGTCTCTAGGAGGCTGTTTTCACAGGTTACAGCTGAGGCTTAGAGCTTCCCAAGGCTTGACCACGGCTGCACGCCCCGCCACGTCCTGTGCAATACAAAAGGAATGTACCATACTGCACATTTCCTTAATTGTTAAGAAAAAAAATATACAACAGAAACAGAAAAGGAGGGTTATTTAAAACATACATATAAATACATAAAGGAGGATACTCCAGTTTGAGAAGCAGAACTAGGTTTGGCCAACTCCAGTTCCGGGTTAAGAATTTAGGACCTTAAGTCAGAAACATTGTAATATGGTATCAAGGAAAAGAAAGGGGGTGGCCCTGCGAAGAGGAAGTGTTAAATGGCTCTAGTTCCCGATGCAGCCTCAGGATTGTCAGGGTGCTCCAGAAAGGAGGTCAGTCAAGGGGCCTGTTCTTCGGTTCTGAGTCTGAAAAACACTGGTTTCGAGTCTCGTCAGCAGCGTCCGTCCATCTCCTCCTGCTGCTGCTCGTCTTCACATTCTGGTCTTGCAAACCCGTGGGCTGGACCTGTAAGAGGAAGGAAGAACCGAAAGTCAATCAAGTGTCTCCTCCTCCCTCGTTCAGTTCAGGGGCAGTGGAAGCCCTCAGAGCAGAGTGCCGCCCCCGAGAAAGCGAGGGGGTCAGGACCCATGGCAGTTCAGGCTGGGCCACCCCAAAACTTGGGGCCTGTGGCTCCCCAACACCAACATTTGGGCCCATCACACGCACTGGGCGATTTTTAAATGCCTGTTACTACTGATGGGGGGGGGGGATTTTTTTTCCTAGAAAGCTATCAACCAAAATTTCAAGCTGTAGGAGGATATCAACTTACTATGGACTTCTGGTTATTAAGAAAAATTCAATAAACTGGCTAGTATGGTGCTGGGAGTACAACATGTTTCTTATGCCTTCAAGCCAAACACACACATGCACCCTTGTGCACATGCACATGCCCCTTCATTTTCTCTGAAAGCAGGCGCATGGGGGTAAAATGACCTCACTGTTTTCATGACACCACTTAAGACTGAATGACAGGGCAGTGAGGGAAAAAAGGGAACCCAGATCTTGATTATTCTTTCCCCAACTAAACGTTCTGCATAAAGTCATAATGATTCAAACTCCTGCTTCCCTAATAACAAATTTTGCCATCACATGGCAAGAAAGAGGAAAAGATTGTTTTAGGAGAAAAGGAAGCTTGCTTACATGATGTTTTAGGATCCTGTGGGTTCTGATTTTGCCAGTTCTCCCTCCTGTTTCTGAGTGTCGTCCTGCGTTTGGGTTTTGATCTCTTCTTCTGACTCGCTGTGGACTTTTCCTTCCTGACATTCTACCTCCTGGCCACCTTCCCTCTCCTTCGGTGTTGGTCCATCTGTGTCCGGGGACTCTTTGCTTAAGCCTCCTGGGGGCCCAGCCTCTTCCAGGGCTGAGTGCTGGTTCTCAGGCTCATCAACAGCATCACCTTCTTCATCTCCGTGGGATTCAGAGAGGGACTCCTCTATCCTTCCTTCTAACCCGGCACGATCACCATCTTCTAAAACAGACTCGGTCCCGGTTGTTTGTTTCTCTTCCTCAGACGGGAGAACTGCCTCTTCAAGCTGTTGGTCAAATACGCTGCAACGTTCTACCTCAACACTTGCGACCTCCGCCGAAGCTTCACTCACAGCTTCGGAAATGTCAGAATGGGTCTGTTCCACGGTGGTTAGTGGGGATTCTTCTTTGGCTTGTGTTCCATCCAGAGCCTGAAGCTCTTCTTCTTCGGTCTCAGTGTGCGCTCTCACCTCCTGGGTGTCCGAGAGCATCGGCTGAGCCTGTGTCTGGAAATCAGCGGCCGTTTCTTCCGTGCTTACTAACTGGTCAACAACTGTCTGGATCACATTCTGTACAAGTTTACTGCTCTCAGTCTCAAGTTTCGAAATCTCGTTTTCGGCCTTTAAATCCTCCTTTCTTGTTTCGCTCCCTTGGACTTCCTGACACGCGGCCGGCCCGTCCTCTTCATGTGAGGACGGGCTCTGGGGTGTGGCTTCATCTCCTTCCAGATCAGCACTGATACCTCCATCAGGCTCAGCTGCTACGGTCACAGGGACGGACTCTGGCTGAGCCTCAGTCCCTGTGGGCACCTCGACATCCCCTGGCCGGGCAGTCAAGGCTTCTTCATCTTTTTCAGAGGATTCTTCTTCTGGAACGGACTGTGCATCTGCAGATTCCAGAGTTTCAGCGGCTTCTAAAATCTTGACAGTTTGTCCTAAGACCTTCTCCTCCACTGCTGCGGCCGTTAGAGTAAAGGACGCCTCCGAGCTCTGGACTTGAACTTCTGTGCGCACCGCTTCCTCCTGCACTAGCTGGGGAGAACTTTCTTCCCAAGCGGTAACCTCCTTTTCCCCGCCGATGACGGCCACACTCTCTGTCTGCACCAGCTGCTTACTAAGCTCATCAGATGTGGTCACAGCTGGTTTTTGCTCAAGTTCCTCTTCGGTGGCTTGAGTTGGCTTTGCCTCCATTTCCTCCCTCTCTCCTTGAGCGTCCATCTCTCTCTCCACTGGTGCGGGAGATGGTGTAGGGCTCTGGACTTCAATACCGTCATCCTTTTGAAATTCAGGTTTTCTAGTAGCTTCCTCTTTCAGGGCAGCTTCACTTGTCGCTTCCTGACTGCCGGTTGTTTCGGGGTCTGCAGATGCATCGGGGCCTTTGAGAAGTGGTTTCTCTTGGCTCTCCCTGTCGGTGAATTGGCCTTCCTCTTGAATCGCGTCCGTCTTTGAAAGAATGGGTACAGTTTCCACTGGTATCTCTTTGTCTGGATGTTCTAGAATCTCTTCCATTTCTGAATGTCCTTTATTTTCTTCTTGGGATGGAAAGCTAGCAGGTGCTGGAGGCACCTGTTTGGGTGCAGGAACTGCCTCTGCTTCTGGGACCTGGGATGGTGTACCTGAAGCAACCTCAGTATCTTCGTGCTTCTCCAGGATCTGCTCTTGCTGTGTTACATGGAGAGCTTCAAGATCTGCTACTGGGGTGCTTCCGCTGGTCTCGCTGTCTGTAAGGGTTTCAGCTGAGTCAGGAGCAACAGCCTGTTCCAGGATCAATTCTGATTTTACCCCAACCAAGGTTTCAGCTTGACAAGTGGTTCTAAGCTCACTGGACTCTACACTGTCTGTGACTGGAAGAACTTTCTCAAAGCTTTCTGGGGTGGCCTGTAGGACTACTTCCCCTTGTGTCAAAGTCTCAGCTTTAAATTCTTGTGCACGTACTTCCAACACTCCATCTGTCTCTTTCTTCTGGTCTAGCCCTTGAGAATCCTCTTCCGCTTCTTCGACCTTCTCTGGTACTTTGGCTCCTCCTTCCCACACTGTCTGAATCATGTCTTCTGGCAGCGGTGATTCTTCTCGAACTTTTTCCGCAACTGCCTGCAGGACCTCTTGAGTCCGCCTCTCTTGGTCTTCCAGGTCTGGTACACTGCCTTCCACCTCCTGAACGGGTGTTGCTTCCTCTGTGGTGTCTGGAGAGTCGGTGAGCTGAGAAACAGCCGAGACCATGTCGGCGGTCTCTTCAGCACCAGATGCTTCTGCTGCTTCTTCAGCACAAAACGCCTCTGCACCTTCTGCAGCTGTCACGGCTTCCGAAGTTAATTCCGCCTCACTCACAACTGTGTCATCAATGGCCTCTTGACCCTCTGGCAGAGTTTTGGTAACAATGGAGGTTTCCTCTGCAAGGACTTCTCCTTCAAATACCTCCCCAGATAGGGGTTTGGCTTCATCTTCTGTTTCTTCAAGAGGTTCTGTCACCGAAGCGGATATCCAAGATGGCGACCTCTCTTCAACACTGGAAACAGCTCTTGCCCCGTCAAGGACAGTCACCGTCACCCCATGAACAAGACTCGTACTGAGCTCCTCTGACACAGAAACAGCTACCTTCTGCTCAGGCTTCTCCTCACTTTTTTGGGCTTGCTGTGCTTCGGTTTTCTCCCTTTCCACTGCATCATACTCGGACAGAGGTACCACGGCCGGGACATCAGAATCATCTTCGTTGACCTCTGCTGGCCCTGCATCTTCAACAGTGGCTTGTTCTGCTTTCCCATCTGACCTTTTCTTCCTTCGTCCGGGAATAAATTTCTTAATGGAGACCCAAGACTCTTCTTTTCCAGGCTCAACATCTGACGCTGAATGTTCTATACCAGACCCAGGTACAGAGTCTTCACTTTTCTCTTCCAGTTTGGACTTGGATTTTTTTCTCGGAGTGACTAATCTTTTAAAGGACTCCCAGGTGGAAACTCCCTCCCCTTCGGTGGGGCTTCCAGCTTGCTCAGGTGAGGAGCTTCCTGGCCCTTGATCATGTTCCTGGGAACTGGCAAGGGCAGTGTCTGGTCCTGTGTCTTTGTCTTTTCCTGCATCATCTGCTTTCTGGCTGTCTCCTCCCATTGCTTTCAGTTCCCCTTCATCATCAGAAGATGATGCTTTTCTTGCTCTTTTCTTGGATGACCCCACACAGATTAAAGCTTCCCAAGATACTGAAGTATCAACTTTGCGCTTGGGTTCTTCTGGCTTCTGCTCTTCTCCGTTTCCTTTGGCTTCCTCCTGCATCTCAGAGGCCGCACTCTCCGTGGAAGACAAGGTGGCACTCTTGACTTTATCCAATTCATCTTCTTTATCACTTTCAGAAAGCCTTCTGACCCGTTTCTTGGGCGTCACCATCTTTTTGAAAGATGCCCAGGGAGTAACACCTTCTCTCTTCTTCTCCCCATCAGAAATAGTCCCTTCCTCGGCTTCCCCCTCCTGGTGTGCGTCCGCGACGCCTTTCTCTAGACACGTAATCTCCTCTGGTTCCTCAGGGGACGAAGCAGAGCTCTCGCCCTTCTGTTCATCTGTACTACCTGGAGACTCTGCTGCAGCTTGATGGTGCTCCCCCAACTCTTCATCCCCTCCTTCCCTTTTCCCCTTCTGTTTCTTTCCAGAAAGCTTCTTTAAGCCAGTGCTAGTAAAAAGTTTCTTTAAAGGGCTTCCTTGCACTTTCATTCTCTCTTGTGAGGACAGCATGTCCACCTCACTCGCGACGCCCTCGGGGTGTGCAGAGGGCGCTTTCTCCTCGGGGCTCAGGTCAGTTGGCTGGGCGTAGTCCCCCCCAGGGGCGCACACTTCTTTTATCTTCCCCAGCTCCTCAGCGGGTGCGGCTTTCTCGAGCTCAGCCTGTGTCTCCACCCCCTTTTCAGCCGGCAAGGGCTCTCCTGCTTCTTCTCCCTCCGCCTTCTCCTCTTCTGTCTTGGTCTCCGGCATGCTAACGTGGACGTCGGCAACAATCTCTACTCTATCATCAAACACTTCTGTTGCTAAGGGCGCAGGTTTCTCTTCGGGGGATCCCAGCACTTGATCTTCAGAGGGCAGCTCGACTTTTTCATACTCCGCTGACAGTCTGGCAGCGTTAACACTCTCGGTGATCTCCTGTGGGTGCGCTTGCTCAGGAACATCCACTTTCTCAGAGGCGGCGTCTGTCTTTTCCTGTTCTTGCGTGTCTACTTTTTCTGGCTCTGGGTCCTTTTTCTTCTCTGAAGCCTCCAGCTTCTCCTCCTTAGGCTTCCTGAAACTGGTCTTTTTTCTCCAGCCAGCCCACCCTTGAGTGAAGAATTTTTTGAAGGGTGATGCTGTTTCACTGGCCACTGGACTAGTTGGAGAGTCTGGAGATTTGGTGGGTTCTTTCTGTTTTTCTTCCCCTTCCTCTTGGTGTTCCTCTGCTGCTTGACCAGACTCAGCCTGAAGAGAAATCTCTGTGTTGCTTTGATCACGCATAAGGGTTTCTTGGGGTTTCTCTGTGGATTGTTTTAGTTCACTTTCTTTGGCTGTTGCTTCTCCGGTCTCCTGGCTGGGCTCCTGGTGGTCACCAGCCCCGTCTGCCGCTCCCCCTCCTTCACCTTCATCTTTTTTGACAGTGAGTAGCTGCACAGTGTCAGACTTCTCGGTCTTATCCTTTTTTACAGTGAATTTAAAACCGACAAACTTAAACACCTTCTTAAATCCAACATCATTAGCCTGGGACTCAGTAGGTTGTATCAGCTCTTCTAAATTGCTTTCTGAAGAAGGAATCTGGTCGATGATTTCAGGCACTTCCTCCTGCCCATCCTTTGCCATGTCTTGAACAACCACGGAGCCAGCAGCCATCGCTTTATCTGAGGCTCTTTCATTCACATCTTCAGACTCTCTCTGTCCAACTATTTACAGAAAAAGGAGAGCGGTGGAGAAGAATAAAATTACTATGGTTCAGAAAAATTACATATGTAAAAAACATAACCAAGTAATAGTTTCTTTAATGTCAGGCAATTTCATGATAGGGTAACAGTCTTCTCAGGATTTGTAAATCTCAGTCCATGAGGCAGCGTCTACTTCTTTCAAATGACCTTTAAGAATTCAGGTTTACAGATACTACTCTGCTCCTTCCGTTCCCTGTGAAGGAAAAATTAATATGCTCAAGTACCAGAATACTAGTTACATGTAAGTAGCTGCAACATCACTAAACTGGGGCAAGCAGATGGTGTAGGTTCTGCTGCAACGGAAAATGGAATCAATCATCACACCTGTGATCCAGAATCCAACCCGTTTTAGAGAAATAAGCTAACTAACAACAAAAGAATCTAGACAAATCTAAAGGAGGGGCATTCTATGTGACAACTAGCTGGTGGTCTCTTTAACAAGTCCCAAAAAACGAACCGGAGCTGCATGGGGAAATTCCAGACTGGGGTAGGGAAAGTACAAGGAACAATTTATCTTGACAGATATAGGAGGTGCTCAAAAGTGTAACACAGAAACTTGAAGAATTGTTATGTTGTACAGCTGAAACTAATGTAATGTTGTAGTTCAACTATACTCAAATAAAAAAAATACAAAATAAAAAAAAAGGTGGTGCTCAAAAGCTGAGAGAGGAATATCAGAGGGAGACAGGAAGTCAGCTTGAAGGCGCCTCCTGCTAGACAAACACTGAAGCATAAGAATAATGACAAGGATGGGGTTACAAAACACTGAACAAAAAAAGAATCCATGGATCAAGAGTGATACTAAAAAAGTAAACAGGGAACAGGGAATACTTCTTCATGAAAAGTGCCAATCAATAAATTTAGATATAATTTCCACTTTGATCTATAGTCACTCATTCAAATTTCAAAATTCTACTGCATCAAGATTCACATTATTAAGGACAAGAGTTAACAAAAATGGTCCTTTTATAGCCGCTTACATATAGGCTCCTCCCAAGACAATGGTAAACAGCTGTTCGGCTGTGAAAATGTGGAGCATTATAGTCTTTGAAGATGTATTTTTGTCATTCATCAAGTACGATCCACTCACATGAAATAACTTAAGTGGATTTTCTTTTATAGTTATTTGGGGAAGAGAAAGCCATGTTTTAGTTCAGTTCGTCAGTGGGGTCAACTGAACTGGACTTTTTCAATTGCTTAGAAAAGTAAAAAAATCATTTCTCATTATGTTCAACATAAAATAATATGCAACACTGCTTCATGGCAAGTGTGGTTATGAGGAGTTTTACTGTTTTGAATGTGGCTGTGACTGAATAAATGTGGAACTAGTCATATCACCATTAAAACCAGCCATTCAGAACCAAACCAAACAAAAAAAGACAGAAGTTAGGGGAGAAGTTTTTATACAGAAAGAACTGGAACGCAGAGCAAGGAAATTGTCTGATTTGCGATAACTTAAATGGTCATCTTATTTGAAAAAGCTTAGTTGTCTGTTTGTCATCAGATTAAGAAAACTGCTCTTTACCAGTATCTTTGAGGTAACTCATTCAGTCAAAAATCCCGAAATGCTAAAACCATTGGGTGAAAAGTTGTCAGGAAACCTACAGTTTTAGAGTATCAACACACAGATCAAAAGGAAAACCTTCCTTGACGGTGGAGAAATCTGACACATACTGCTTTAAACTTAAACAACCCCAATAATGGAACAAAAACTATCACTGTGCCTTCTGATGTGAGGTACTGAGAAGACCAACAGATCACTTATAGGGCTCCTGCCAAAAACGCTTCATGGAATCTAACTGTGAGCAAACAATCAGGTAAATCAATGAAGGATATTCAGTACGACAACTAGCCTGGCTGGATATGTCAATGTCACAGTGGACAAAAATCAAACAAAAACCCAAGTAGACTGTCTGCAAGTAACTTTCAAATAGTTTAAGGAGAGAGACTGAGGGTGGGGGGTGGGCAGGAGAGAGACTATGCTAGAATCTCAGTCACTGGTGAATTAGGTCAAGGGTACATGACTATATTTGTCTATAGTTTTGAAATTTAACAAATCATTGAGGGTTTAAACAAGCAAATCAATGAGATTTAACAAAGGGAGGGAGATATTGTGCTAAATTAATAAATTTAAGAAGCATAACAATAAGACATACTGGGCATATGCAGTCCCAGAGTTGGTTATTAGTTAGGGCAAACTAGTCAAAGGACACTTTCTGCTTTTTTTGGGAAAATGTGAGTGGTTATGATTTAGGATTAGATGAGATGAACTTTTCCGAAGAGAAAAGAGTTGAAATTTGACCAAAAAAAAAAAAGCAGGTTACCAAACAGTATATACAGTATGATTCCATTCTGGTTTACCCACCACCACCACACCCACCCTTCCCCACCCCCTGGCACAAACACGCCCCTCACATGATCTCTGGGGGATAGAAGTGTGATTTAAAAAAAAAAATTTTTTTTTTAAATATTTTTAAAGATTTATTTATTTCAAAGAGAGAGAGAGTAAGTGAGCACAAGTGGGCGGAAGGGGAGAGGAAGAGGAAATGATCTCAAGCAGACTCCCCACAGAGCATGGAGCCCAATGCGAGGCTCAATCCCACTACCCCGAGACCAGGACCTAAGCCAAAATCGAATTGGATGCCCAACCAACTGAGCCACCCAGACGCCCCTGTGATATTTTAGTTTTGCTTCTATGAATTTTCTAATTTTCTCTAAGTCAATTAAAATGATCACAGAAAAGGTCTTAACACAATTATAATTATATATTTAATACCCACAGTATAAAATGAAGCTTAATAATTATAAATAGTATCCATACCAATACTTAGAATGTATCCATAAATATATGAAATACAGATATATTTGGAAATACATATACAACATGATCTTCATGGGCTCGCAGTCAGCTTGAGATTCTCACTCCCTCTCCCTTTGCCCCTCCTCTGGCTCGCTCGCTCTCTCTCCCCAATAAATAACTTGAAATACTTTTGTTAATTTCACCAATTATAAAAGTACATTCATGAAAAAAACTTTCCCCAAACCTTTTTAATGTAACACAAGAGATGTGACTTTTTTTTAAACATTTTTATTTATTTGATGGAGGGGGGCAGAGAGAGAGCACAAGCAGGGGGAGCGGCAGGGAGAGGGAGAAACAGGCTCCCCGCTGAGCAGAGAGACCAACATGGGGCTCGATCCCAGGACCCTGGTATCATGACCTGAACCCAAGGCAGACGCTTAACCGACTGAGCCACCCAGGCGCCCAGAGATGTGACTTTTTTATTTTTATTTTTTTATTTTTTTAAAAGATTTTATTTATTTATTTGAGAGAGAGAGAATGAGAGACAGAGAGCATGAGAGGGGGGAGGGTCAGAGGGAGAAGCAGACTCCCTGCCGAGCAGGGAGCCCGATGCGGGACTCGATCCCAGGACTCTAGGATCATGACCTGAGCCGAAGGCGGTCGCTTAACCAACTGAGCCACCCAGGCGCCCGAGATGTGACTTGTTTAAAAAGGTGTACAATACCATTGAAACTACTAGAGAAAAAAGTCAAACCCCAATAATAAACTCCATGCTAGTACAATTTTACTAAAAATGTGCACAAATATTGGGGCACCTGGGTGGCTCAGCCGATTAAGCGTCTGCCTTCGCTCAGGTCATGGTCCCAGGGTGCTGGGATCAAGCCCCGCATCAGGCTCCCTGCTTGGCGGGGAGCCTGCTTCTCCCTCTCCCTGCTGCTCTGTTACTTGTGCGCTCTCTCTCTGTGTTAAATAAATAAATAAAATTTAAAAAAAGGTACACAAATATAAATTAAACTTCCTGCTGGCAAGCATGAGAGAAAAACAAACACTCATTAACTAACCTTTCTAAAATTCACTGGAAAATGCCGAGACATTTTTGCTAACATAGTGGGAGAAAATAGGTGTCAAACACACCATTTTCCTCCCCCTTTTCCCTCCATGCTCCCAAATCTGTTTCAATCTGAAACACTTCTTAAATTCTGGTATGATTGGAGGAATGTTTACAGTCACAAGTAGAGAGACAAAAACAAACAGCCGCCAACTGGCCGAACGAAACGTCTACTGACAGTGCCCGCTAGCCTACCAAAACTGAGACCATCTCTTTAATACAGAATGGTATATGGGCTGAACACATTTCTGTAAAGAGGGGCATAGGATCACAAGAAAAAAACAGGTTAAATCCTAACTGGTCAACCCACTGGTCTGCAGTCTCTACTGCCCTAGGTAATCCTAGGAGATCGCCTTCTGGGTGCTCAGAGTGGCCCTCAAAGCCCACCCGCCCGCCGCGTGCCCCGGCGGACCGCCGCTGGGGGGCGCGCTACTACTCACAGCAAAGGTTACTCCACCAGGGCATCGCGCGCCGCCAGCCGGCAGAGAAGCGCTACAGGGGCGGGGGAGACCCAGACTTCTCCCAGCTGCCCCATCGCGGAATGGACACTGGTGCCGCTGACGAGGGCGCCCTCTGGGGGCCACCGCGTGCGTCACAGAGGGCACAGCGTCCTCGTGGCCCAGGGGCCCAGCGCTCTGACCTCACAAGCCTGCAAGGAGAGCGCCCCGGGGGTCCTGTGCATCGCTCCAATGGGTTTCTTCAAACGTAAGCACACCCAACGTCTGAAAATCATCATGGCTAAATGACTGCCAAACTGCTAGACCTCAATACTGTTGGATTCCTGAGCTGCCTCTCTGATCTGTAACACTGCTTGGTGGTAAACTCCAAAATCGCAATGCATAGCGATGGCCCAAGGGATAGCGGGACCCTGCACATGGCATGGTTTGTTTGGTTGTAAGAACTTTAATTTCTTGAGTTTATGCACAAAAACTGTGTACCTCGTGCACGTTCCCATTACAGAGCTCACTTAGAGTCACAATGCCTTAGGGCTTGAAGGAAGAATTCACCTTGTACTTCCAACCGGGGAATAAACGGACTTCAAATATGGTTATG